TTTCATTAGCCAAAGGCAACAAATTGCTTTTTAAACAATGACCGATATTCCCACCTGACCACAGGATGCAAGCGGCTGCAGCAGTTAATACACGTATCTGCCTATAAAGCTGTTCTATTAGATTTGGGACTGCAAGGATTTTCGTGCTTGCTGCCACGGCCAAGGGGCATTGTATGTGCAAAGGACAGGCATGTTGGAACTGATCAGAGATATCTGGATGGCAGGCCACATAGGGCTTTGCAGAAGGCTGAGGGAGAGTAGGACTCAAGGCAATGGATTCAAGTTACAAGGAAAGAGATTCTGACTCAACATTGGGAAGAACTTTCTGATAGTCAGAGCTGTTCGGCAGTGGATGGGACTCCCTAGGGTGGTGGTGGGGCCATCTTAACCATTGGTGTTAGGGGTGCACGGCACCCGGGCGCCAGGCGCTCGGGGCATCAGGCTGAGAGTCTGGGGCCGAGCATTGGAGTCTGGAGAAGAGCCGTCAACAGCCGAGTGAAGCAGAGCCCGTTGGAGCGCCGCAGGCTCTTCTGCTGTGGCTGGCTCTTCCCCGGACTCCAACGCTCGCCCCCAAACTCGCGCCGAGCCGCCTGCAACAGAGCCTGCACCACTCCAACGGGCTCTGCTCCACTCGGCTGTCAGCTCTTGCCCCAGCTGCATAGCGGCTAACTGTTTCGGCGCCGTGCCCGGAGCGCCGTATAACGTTGTGGGCACTGCGCGATGCATCCTGTTGTGTGCACCACACTGAGGGTTCCTTTGCTAGCTTTACCACTGTCGGTGCATGCTCCTAGCACCGGCCAATGTGGGGTGTCAGCGCAAAATGACGGGGAACGCAAGCAGCAGCGGGGGGAAAGATCTCCGGACAGGATCCGCCATGCACCGACGGCAACAACGAAACCCGACGAATAGGAGCACGCTGATCCCATCCGGAGATCTTTCTGCACTGGCACCCCACATTAGGTGGAGCTGGGAGCGTGCGCCGACAGCGAAAAAGCCAATAAAGGAACCCGCAGCTTGGCGCACACAACAGAATGTGTTGCGCAGCACCCACAACATTATACAATGCTCTGGGCACTGCGTGCGCAGCCGAAACAGTTTGCCACCATGCAGCGGTGTGGGGGGAGAGGCAGTGGGGTGGAAAGCACATTGACTGTGCTGCCCGACATTTTGCTCCCCCCAGCATGGAACCCGTATCCACCTTCGTACACCCCTGTGCGTGGAGCGCTGGCACACCCCCGCTGGTTGGTGCTGTAAGTCCCTGTGTCCCGCAACCGTTCTAAAGGTAAACATTTACCGTATTTTTTGCTCTATAAGACTCACTTTTTCCCTCCTAAAAAGTAAGGGGAAATGTGCGTGCGTCTTATGGAGCGAATGCAGGCTGCACAGCTATCACAGAAGCCAGAACAGCAAGAGGGATTGCTGCTTTCGCTGCGCAGTGATCCCTCTTGCTGTTCTGGCTTTTGAGATTCAGAATATTTTTCTTCTTGTTTTCCTCCTCCAAAAACTAGGTGCGTTTTGTGGTCTGGTGCGTCTTATAGAGCGAAAAATACGGTATTTCCTAAAAAAAGGTCAACAACTTTGGGCAACCTAGGGGTGCTGGGAGGATCTTTGCACCTTGCCGCTGCATATGCTTAAGACGGCCCTGGGTAGACTCTCCTTCCTCGGACGCTTTTAGCAGAGATTGGCTGGGCATCTGTCATGGCTGCTTTAGTTGAGAATCCAGCATTGGAGAGGGTTGGACTAGATGACCCCCAGGGTCCCTTCCAAATCTACGCTTCTATGATTCTGTGAAGGGGCAGCAGACGTACAAGGGGGTTGTGTGCATGGTACATGATGTCCGGGGCCCATAAACAGTGTAAACAAATAAATTCTTCTGAAGCTCTCCCACTGACCTGTAGCTGCTCTTCTAAAAACAGCATAATATTCCAGCCCTCATGACTTCCAAGCAAAGGGACTGCTTTAAATAGGAACAAAGGAAACTTCCTTATACGAAGTCAGACCGTTGTTCTACTAGGTAGGTACCATCTACACAGAGCGACTATTTAAAAACGACTGACCCAATTTGTGGTTCCTTCACTGATATACGCAGAAAGATTGCACGCACACCTCTAGTTTTTGCAATGCAGTTTCAGTTAAATATACATAGATAGATAGATAGATAGATAGATAGATAGATAGATAGATAGATAGATAGATAGATAGATAGATAGATGATAGATATAAAAATGCACATTTTCTGGGGGAACTGTATACGACGTAATTGTGTATTTCTGTGTGTGTGTGTTTAACGCACAGAAAACGCAGCAGCTGACATGGGATGGAAACAGACTAGTCCATGGGTAGGCAAACCAAGGCCCGGGGGCCGGATCCGGCCCAATCGCCTTCTAAATTCGGCCCGCGGACGGTCCAGGAATCAGCGTGTTTTTACATGAGTAGAATGTGTCCTTTTATTTAAAATGCATCTCTGGGTTATTTGTGGGGCATAGGAATTCATTCTCTCCCCCCCAAAAAATATATAGTCTGCCCCCCCAAGGTCTGAGGGACAGTGGACTAGCCCCCAGTTGAAAAAGTTTGCTGACCCAGGACTAGTCCATCCATCCTAAAGTTGAGCATTTGCTTTGGATGCTGAATGACCTTGTTTGGATCTGAGGAAGCCCTTCGCATGAGATCTTGATGAACCACTATATGTCAGAGGAGATAACACTGGACTGCAACAGCGTTGGACCCCAAGTGTTGGACTACAACTCCCATCATCCTGGACTACTGGGCTAAGATGGCTGTGGATGATGGGAGATGCAGTCCAACAACTGAGGACCCAAGGTTGTAGAAGACTGGGCTAGGTGCAGTGGCGTAGCGTGGGTTGTCAGCACCCGGGGCAAGGCAAGTAATTTGCACCCCCTAACCCGTGGATTTGCGCCCTCTAATCCGCACCGCACGCCTGGCACCCCCCCTCCACAGTGGCTGGCGACCCGCCAGCTCGGATCGGATTCGCACAGCCAGCACTGCAGTGAGAGAGAGTGAGTGAGCCAGGTAGGGGCAGAGAGCTGCAAGTGTGAGCGCCCCCCCCCGATGTTGCACCTGGTGTGGCCGGCCCCCCTGCACCCCCCACACTATGCCACTGGCTTGGTGGACCAATAGCCAGCCACAGAGTCAAGGAGATTCCTGAGTAGGAACATTTTTATTTTTAGTTTGAGGGAGAATTGCTAATTGGTCCCAATTCCCCCTTCCAAACTCTCTCCAGACACCACACAAAGGAAGACCAGATCTGAAGAGTGTTCTGGAAAGATATATTCCTAAGGCTGGCCTTTCAGGCTGCTAAATTCAGAAAGTGAAATGAATCTCTGCACTACATGAAAGGGTGAATGCTCCCTGACAGCTGAGGCCAACTCACAGAGTCTTTTGTTTACGCCGCTTTCAAACCTGCCCCGTTCCTTAAGCCTCCTTTAAACAGAAAGAACTCGTTCGGTGACTCCAAAGGGGAACACGGGGAAGGCAAGTTAAACATACCTGCCTCAGCAATTGGACCTGAAAAGTCCCCTCTTGTCTGTGCTGCTCACACCTGGGCCCACCCTCTCCTGAACCTCCATCCTGGATTTCAAACCCGACTGAATCCCATGACACTGGTTTCGGAGCCGCGGCAGCCATTTTTAGCCAGAGGAACATTAAAGCCCCGCAAGCGGCTAGTTCTCAGTGAGGTGGCAAAGCTATATCTGGGATGCTGTAGTGGTGGGTGGCTCACATGACCAAATGCCTTCATAAAATTTTTTTTAAAAAAATTCCTCTATGCAGAGAAGACAAGCCTGGCAGAGAGAATACAGTGGTACCTCGGGTTAAGAACTTAATTCGTTCTGGAGGTCTGTTCTTAACCTGAAACTGTTCTTAACCTGAGGTGCCACTTTAGCTAATGGGGTCTCCTGCTGCCGCCGCACGATTTCTGTTCTCATCCTGAATCAAAGTTCTTAACCCGAGGTACTATTTCTGGGTTAGCGGAGTCTGTAACCTAAAGCGTCTGTAACCCAAGGTACCACTGTAATTTCTTTCTGACATGCTTGTTTTCTATATTGTGGGGGATCCGTGTGTGACATCAACTGACCACCTTAGTTGGAACTAGGTGTTTTTGTAGTTTTCCTGTTCTTGGTCTGGCTCTTTAGCCTAATAATGTTATTGCAGGTTTGGGCAGGAGAGAGTTAATAAGACCAGAAGAATTGCTTAAAATTGGTCAAACTTCTGCCTAGCCTTTGGTCAGATGCATCCTTTTGTTAGTGAAGCTATAGGTGATGAGTTTCCATGGAAACTAACTGCTAGACCTCCTCCTTAAGTCTTCTGAATGGGGCGAAAGCCGACAACAGATTGCTGTTTGAGTGAGACTAAGACTCAGAAAACCTGAGTTTTTGATTAGCGGTTTATCAGAGTGCTACCTCTCTCTCTGACATGGGCTTAGGGTGTCTGTTTAAGCTGCGCTTCTGCCTCAGTATTCGCAAATAAACCCGAATGTTGCAAAACACCACACTAAGCCTCCAGCGACTTCCTTCCAAAAGGATTTACGCCACTTACGAGCCTCTTGGAGAAAAAGTTGGGATAAAAATGCAACAGATTACTGTATTTTTTGCTCTGTAAGACTCACTTTTTCCCTCCTAAAAAGTAAGGGGAAATGTGTGTGCGTCTTATGGAGTGAATGCAGGCTGCGCAGCTATCCCAGAAGCCAGAACAGCAAGAGGGATTGCTGCTTTCACTGCGCAGCGATCCCTCTTGCTGTTCTGGCTTCCGAGATTCAGATTTTTTCTTCTTCTTGTTTTCCTCCTCCAAAAACTAGGTGCGGCTTGTGGTCTGGTGCGTCTTATAGATCGAAAAATATGGTACGCCACTTATGAGCTTCTTGGAGAAAAAGTTGGGATAAAAATGCAACAGATAAAATCAATCAATAAACAAACCAGACTGAGTCGGAGAAGATGCACAGAAAGCAGAAGGGTTGTTTAAAATTCTAAAACCCCAATTCTTACCTAAAGTTTGGTTATCAAAGTCCGAGTGCTCAAAACATTTGTCCCTCTCGGATTCGATGATCAGCATGATAGAACATTCCGGAGACATGCTTGACACCTGCAGGAAGGCCAGAGAGAAAAAGAGATTTTTTTAACCCCCATCCATGGATAAAGTCTGTTTGTTTTAAAACGATCTGCCCTTCCATTAAAAAATTCTCAGGGCAGCTACCGTCAGGAAAATAAAAAACTCACAATAAAACTCCTGTGTTAAAACAGCGGGATCATATAAAAAAGACTCACCGTACTGGAGCTGACCTTAACTGACCCAGGACTTTGGAACTGCTATGTTCACACGTTCACACATTCAGTTAACTTTGGACACACTCTGTCCAGGCACAGGCCTGCACTTAAAAGCTCTGTGTCTAAGTGGGGCTCCCCACCCCACAGCTTTCCCCACAGACCCCCACTTTTTAAGCACTCAATCAGAGCAAATGGGAATTTGGGTTTTCAGCGGATGTTTGCTCCAAATGAGCTTTAAAGAGCATGTTTTCTCAAGGAAAGCTCCGGAGCAAAGAAAAAAAGGATGCTCAGACATGGAGCCTAAAAGCACGGAACTAGAATCACAGAGTTGGAAGGGTAACCTAAGGTCATTTAGTCCAAAACCTACAATGCAGGAATCCTGTCTCTGGAAAGATAAGAGGAAACTTAAATGTGTTTATTGAACTATGCAAGACAAAGTAGTTAACTAGAAACCCAAGAAAGGGGAATTTGTATTTTTTATATATACAGTGGTACCTTGGGTTACAGACGCTTCAGGTTACATACGCTTCAGGTTACACACTCTGCTAACCCAGAAATAGTGCTTCAGGTTAAGAACTTTGCTTCAGGATGAGAACAGAAATCGTGCTCCGGCGGCGCGGCAGCAGCGGGAGGCCCCATTAGCTAAAGTGGTGCTTCAGGTTAAGAACAGTTTCAGGTTAAGTACAGACCTCTGGAACGAATTAAGTACTTAACCCGAGGTACCAATGTAAGTACTTAACCTGAGGTACCACTGTAAGTACTTAACCAGAGGTACCACTGTGTGTGTGTGCGTGTGTGTGTGTGTGTGTGTATATATATATATATGGGCAAATGTTTAATGCATACTCTTTAAGCTTTGTGTATAGATTTTTTACATTAGTAGAACTAGCGGCAGCTAGACTGGTGACTGGGAGTGGCCACCGAGACCACATAACACCGGTCCTGAAAGACCTACATTGGCTTCCAGTACATTTCTGAGCACAACTCAAAGTGTTGGTGCTGACCTGTAAAGCCGCCAATGGCCTTGGCCCAGTATACCTGAAGGAGCGTCTCCACACCCATCGTTCTGCCCGGACACTGAGATCCAGCTCCGAGGGCCTTCTGGCGGTTCCCTCATTGCGAGAAGCCAAGTTACAGGGAACCAGGCAGAGGGCCTTCTCAGTAGTGGCACTCACCCTGTGGAATGCCCTCCCACCAGATGTCAAGGAAATAAACAACTATTTTACTTTTAAAAGACAACTGAAGGCGGCCCTGTTTAGGGAAGTTTTTAATGTTTGATGCAGTACTGTTTTTCATATTTGGTTGGAAGCCGCCCAGAGTTGCTGGGGAAACCCAGCCAGATGGGCAGGGTATAAATAATAAATTCTTATTCTTATTATATTTTAAAAGTCACTTGTAATAACATGAAGAAGGTTTAAAATTGGATAGTTAAGAATATAAGATTTTATGGACGTGCATGAACAAGTACTAATCAATGGAGCCAAAAGGGGGAGTGTCGGGAAGTCAAGCAAAAAATTATGGTTTAAAAATTTGTTTATGATGTTTTGTTTTTCCCTTCCTTTTCTTTTAATGTATTGTTATTTTTGGAAAATTAATAAAATATTATCAAAGGAAAAAAATCAGAGGAAACTTAAATGTGGATAAGCCCCATGAGCAGTGGTATAGCATGCTGTGTGTGTGCGCGCGCACTGGGGTGGTCGCCCAGGAGCAAAATTGTTAGGCAAAGGGTAAAGGGACCCTTGACCATTAGGTCCAGTCGCGGACGACTCTGGGGTTGCGGTGCTCATCTCGCTTTACTGGCCAAGGAAGCCGACGTACAGCTTCCGCGTCATGTGGCCAGCATAACTAACAGAGCCTAGGGCTTGCCGATCTGAAGGTCGGTGGTTTGAATCCCCGTGACGGGGTGAGCTCCCATTGTTCGGTCCCTGCTCCTGCCAACCTAGCAGTTCGAAAGCATGTCAAAGTGCAAGTAGATAAATAGGTACCGCTCTGGAGGGAAGGTAAACGGCGTTTCCGTGCGCTGCTCTGGTTTGCCAGAAGCGGCTTAGTCATGCTGGCCACATGACCCGGAAGTTCTAGAAAAATAGGTGCTGGTACTCAACATACGGTTTTTACAGGAAGCGCCATACTTTCAACCAGTGCTTTTCTTAAAGAAAAGAAAAAAGTGCCAGTGCTGTGTAACCTTAATATAGGGTTACCAGACATCCCCGTTTCCCTGGGACAGTCTCCGGATTTGTGAATAAGTCCCTGGACAAATTCCATCCCCGGAATGTCCCCGGATTTCATCTAATGTCCCTGGGAAATGCAGCAGCGGCAGTCTCAGCAGCCCGGAGCAGTTGGCTCTGGCTGGCTTCAGGAGCTGCTGGGAAGTCCCCATATGATGGTGGTGCAGGGGCTCTAAGATGCAGCTTCCGGCTGCCCCCACCTTCCCTGACCCCAGCAACTAAGCTGTGAAGGAAGGCTTCATGCTGCCTATCGGAGCAGCCTCCCAACTCCTACTTGCGTGCAAGCCGGAGGGGGCAGGGATCTCTCAGTTATGTAAAAAATATTTTATAAGAATAAGGGTGAAGAGGCTAGAATAACATTATGTCAGACCTAAACAAAATGATATAAAGGGAAAAACTGGTGACATAACAGTTGAAATGTATAACATATAGTAAGATTTGAAAGAGGGTAAGGTATTGCTGAATACGATTGTGTAAAAGGGAACACAGAAAAGGGAGATGTGAGGAAGTCAGGAAAGAGGGTTATGAAAGTAACAAGTAAGAAATTGGATTTTTATATTTTTTTGTATGTCTTTCTTTTTTCTATTTTTATGTCTGGTATTGTATTTTTCTGTTATTATTTGATTGTGGTGGTGGTGTTTCTTTTCTTTTTCTTGTTATGATTGTGAAGTTTGTATAACTGTTTAAAATTTCAATAAATATCATTTTTTTAAAAAAGGGATCTCTCAGTTAGGCAACGGGAAGCCTCCCTTCCCAGCTGAGGGATCCCCGCCCCCTCCTGCTTACACGCAAGTAGGAGTTGGGATGGGGATGCTCCTCAATGTGTAGCATTTATTTATTTGTTTATTTGTAGTGTCCCCGGATTCATTGAAAATAATCTCGTAACCTTACCTTAATACCCCCAGAAAAAGAAGCACTGATGTTATTCTACAAAACACTATGTGCATCACTGATGCTGTGGCTTGTTTCAGGTGACATTATCTTCCGGCCTCTTTTCACTTTCCTTCAGCTTTGATCTTAAGCATTTTAAGTACATCACTATGCTGCAAACTGCCTTGAGAGCTCAAAAGGCAGTAAATACATTTGAATAAATGAAAGATTGAGAAGCTCCCTTAAATGGACGGAAAGGGAAGGTTAGGACTACCCACGTCAAACAGAATCTCGAAGATTTTAACAGACTGGTACTGCGTTTTTTATATCATGTCTTCAGGGAAGAAGGATTTTTAAGCCGATGCCGGCATTTTACCTACTTTCGGAATGATTTACATAAATGAAATACCTGTGCAAAGCTCAATCAGAATGGAAAAAAAACAGACCAGATTTGCAGAGAAGATGGAGAAGCAAGCAAACCCCAAGTGTTATTCCTGTACTCAAGTGATATTTCCTGGAGGAGACTGCTAGCATTACTCTTGGTGCTAGGAAAAACGGGCAGAATAGACTCTTGATCTGATACAAGAGACCTGTTGTTCCAAACCAGATAAGGAGATCCATGCAAGTCAGCAAGGTTTTTGTGTGTGTCAGCACTGGCTAGATCAGGAATTCCAGACACAGATTGGTTTTTGCATCTTGATGCACCTTGGAAAACGCATCTAACTCTGAATGCCTTTGGAAAAAACAAACGCAGGGCACATTTTGATGCACATTGAAACACACATTCCCACCTACATTCTGGCACAACTTAAAATTAAAAAATATATATTTTTGGAACTGTGGTTACAGCTGGATTGGGGCATATAAAGGAGACACACTATCACATACAAAGGGTGGGTTTGCCCTGTTCCCCCTGGCCTTCTGCTGTGAAGGTCATCGCACGCCTGCTCACAGTGGTTGTTTGGACTTATTCTGAATCAGTGGACATGCATGTAGAATGAGAAGAAAAACACTGCAGTCAGAAGAACCAGAATGCCAATCTATTAGAGGCTTGGGTGCAACTCAACTTGCAAAAGAGGGGCTAACATGGAGGTGTGATGGCCTGGGATTTGGACTCAGAGGCTGAACCTGAGAAATCCCAGCCTGCACAGGAGTCCCCGCCACCAGAACCAGCTGAGCCTGGGCTGGGGCTTGAGTCTGAAAGGTCCTCACCTGTACTGGATCCTCAGGTGCAGGCACCAGCTGAGTCTGCTCTGGCTTCTGAGGTGATGGAGGACCCATTGCCTGCAGGTGCTCCACTCTCAGCCCCGTCAGGGGAAGCTGAGGTTGCCTCTGAGTCCGGTAACCCTCCAGCCTCTCCTGAGCTGCAGAGGCTCAGGGCAGAGAGGCGGAGGGAACTAAGTTCCTGCAGGAGGAGTGTTCTCCTCCAGGCCAGGAGAGGTGAGTCACCTGTGGATCGGGGCCACCCTATGCCTCGGGGCAGATAAAAGCCGACCAGCCCCAGCCCCAAGTTGCGGGAGTAACATTGTTGGTAGCCTGTTCCTGCCTGCACCCTGTCCTGCTCTCCTGCCAGAGTTCCTGAGTTCACCCGACTCCCTGCCTTGGACCCAGCTTCAGCCTTGACGGACAGCCTCCATACTGCACCCTTGACCTCGGACTGGACTTGGACCTCGCTGCACGGTTAACCCTCGGAACCAGCACAGTAGGTGAGATTGAGGAACCT